CAGCTGCCTCAAAGTTTCATTTCAGGTTAGTGTCCTGTACCATTCCCACATGCCACAAATACTCAGCACCTCCTTCAAGACCTCCACCTTGCACACCATAGACTTGAAGACCATGATTCTGCCATATGGATAAGATACAGGTGTGGATGAGGCACATTTGAAATCCTTAGCTACAGCTCCCTGTGTACTGCTTTGGGTTCGAAGACCAGAAAATGAAATTTTTTACCTCTCTTTCACTTCATGCCCAACCTGAGACAGGAAGAATACGTATTCTTCTTGGAAATCAGGTATGAGTTCCACAAGGAAATAGCAAAGAGGGGACTGGAGGCAACTGGATTAGGGTTTCGTTAATAAGAAGGGGACCAAGGAATCATAACCTTCGTGAGGTCTGTACAGCTTTTATTTCCCCACTTTCTCAGGATATGCCCAGTAATGTGTTGAATGAGTGAATTTAAGAATAGATGCTTCCTGCTCATTGATGCAATTGGAGAAAAACACAGGAGGGCAACCTAAGAATCAAGAAAAACCAAACAAGACAAAAAAAAAAAAAAAAAGAAAAGAAAAAGAAAAAGGCAAAGGACTTTATAGGCTACCTAATCCAGTGCTTTTGCTTTATTGAAGAAGGCAATGAAAAAAAGATTTCACTGAGTCCCATATATGGCCAGTGGTGGAGTTGAAGCTACAAACCCATCTGTGCCTTTCCTCCAAAACACATTTAAAAAAAAAAAAAATTTACATGAATTAAGCTGTGTACTAAGTTGCTGGAACCACAAGTTAAATGAGCCATCATCCGGAGTAGGAAGCCTGGGATTGGGATCACTCACTGTGTTGAGGGAGCCTCCTGGGGGAGGAGGGTGTGGCTATTCCTGAAACCTAGCACAGCAGGGCAGGGTCAGGACCAGGAGCACCTTTACCAGGTAACATCATTGATGCATCTAGCACTTCAGCTTTTGCAGACTACTGCTGAAAGACAATGACACAGCAGGATTCCTGGTCTGAATCCTTTTGCTTGAAGTTCAACCTGGTTGAACAATTTGTTTCTCTCTCCCCACTCACTTAGGTGCTTTGGTCTAGTCTACAGACACCAGTCTTGACTAAAGCTGTAGAATGCATAGAGTGGGTGCTCAGTGTCTCCCCCTCCTTTCCTCACCCACCTCTCTTTGTCCTTTCTCTCCTCCACTTCCATCCTGCCCACATGAATCTCACTATTCCGGGTCCCCGATAAAAAGTAAATAAATCATAATCATTGCCACCATGTTTGGGTTGAAATTACTTCCCACATTACACCATGTATATATAACATTTAAAATTATATATACACCCAGGGATAAACTGGAAAATATATTATGTATTATTTGATTCCATCATATCTATTTACAATTTACATTTCTATGTCCTTGGGTAACAAACTCTATAGGAGTCCTTCCTCATGGTTGACTATTAGAGTGTATAACAAGGAGACAATTTTCCAAAGGTTGCTGGATCTCCCTGGGACTTCTTTAGGAATCTCAGGCCATCTTTTATGTTTCACCTTTGTAGGAATCTGAATGCCGCTATGCAGAACCATGAGCAAAAAAGGAAGATGTGCCCACATGATATGAAATCTGATCCTTCGCTAAATGAACCACTACCACTTGATTTAAAGTTCTGTTCCATTTTCTGTACTGTTTAATTTAATTTTGTCTCAAATGAAGAAATTAGTGTTACACCCATGCTTGAGGACAAGCCAAACTGCATGACTTCACATTGCCTTTCGAGCAGTATCGGATTACATAACTTCTTAGTTTGTTTGCTCCCAACATCCTGAGATTTGGGACTTTCTATATGATTCAGAATGGAGATTTGGACCTAAGGAGAGGGTTTCCATCTCTAGGGCTGGCCAGAGTTTGGTGATGTCACCTGAAGAACACATCTGTGTTCTTTCAGTGGGGTTGGCACCTACAGGAGAGAAAAATTCTGCTTCGTGGGGGAAGCCTAAGAGATTATTCTGGGCCATTTTCTTTACCGCTTTTCTTTTTTTTCTTTCTGTTTAATTATGTCTGTTCTCTAAGGCTGAATGATTTTCCTAGTTTTGATCACACAGCACAAAGTCTCCCTCAGTACATTCTGTTCCTTTTACTAGGTCTCTGCCCAATTACAGGAACACACTCATCCCTTCTCCAAACAGCCATTACTTGCTGAAATAAAGAAACCAAAGGACACAGTATTTCAGGGAAATAAAGATTCAATTAGGGAAAAACCTAAAGCAATATTTTCATTTGAAAAAAGGCAACTGAAAATCCTTCCCTTTGCAATCTCAAGTATTCATATATGTTGATCCCAGGATAATATTTGTATTAATGATTTCTCCAACCTCAAAGGATCTAGTTCTTATGTTCCAAAAGAGGTAGAAAAATATTTCCTCTATTGCCTCTGACCTGGAATGGTAGTAAAATCAGGTTTGTTTTTTTTTTCTTTGTTTAGCAAGTAGAATATATTGACAGAGGCAAGAAAAGGGCCAGAGGACAGAGTAATCAGTTTAGTAGGTAAGTAAAAAAGTGTGGGGCTGGGCATGGTGTTACACACCTGTAATCCCAGTAACTCTGGAGCCTGTGGCAGGAGGATGGCAAGTTCGAGACCAGCCTCAGAAACTTAGTGAAGCTCTAAGCAACTTTGCAAGACCCTGTCTCAAAATAAAAAATAAAAAGGACTGGGAAGGTGGCTCAGTGGTTAAGCACCTCTGGGTTCCATCTCTAGTACAAAAAAAGAAGCAGCAGCTTCAGGATTTAGCTTTTGCTAAAATCACAGGTATAGCTTTCATAGAAACAAAGGAATTTGTGAACTAAAGCACAGAGATTCATTGTGGGCTCTTCCTGAAGGCTCCAAATCAAATTTTGTACTTTAAATTTTGATTTTTTTTTTTTAGAAAGTATCTCCACTTATATTAGTTTCAGGAATAAAAGCCTGGATCCATACCTATAGATATTAGTTTCAGGAATAAAAGCCTGGATCCATACCTCTAGGGCTGTTAGCGTGAGGAAGAAGCCCAGCTTATTTCCAGAAAATCAATGTCATCTCAACACCAGTGAGTTCTCCCTTAAACATGATTGGAAAAGTTGTCACAAGCACATTAGTGAAGATTTTTGGTACGATGGCCCAGCTTGCCTAGGAGTAGGTTGTACTGTCACTTAGCAGGACACAGCAGTTCGGGTTTATGTAAACCCTTGAGGTTTACATGAGATTTGAATTTTCATTACGACCTTTGTCAATCAGCACCCTAGAGAACTGCCACTATTCAACACGTGTTGACCTACAAAAATAGCAGCTTCGTAGAGTATGACCTGAAATGGTTCAACGGCAGAAACAAAGGCTGGAAATATAGCTTCAAGGAATGGCTGAGCTTTTGTTTCTAAACACAGCTGCTTTTAAATGCTACCCCAGAACCATCTAAATAGCAATAAATCGAAGGCATAATCACGAGCCACAGATGTAATTTTCAATTTTCTAATAACCACATGAAATAAATGAGAAAGAAACAGGTGAAATCAATTTTCATAATATACTTTATTTAATCCCATATATATCTAAAATTATATTATTTAGACACATAACCAATATAAAAAGCATTATAAATGAGGCATTTTACATTTTACATTTTTGTACTAAGTCTTCATAATCTGGTGTGTATTTTATTCTTCTAGCATATCTCAAGTCATATTATCCATATTGAAATTGCTCAAGTAGCCACATGTGGCTAGTGTATTGTACAATTGAGTCCTAGACCCTCTACTTACAAACTATGTTATTGAACCAATTAACGTAACCATGCTTCATCTGTTTACCTCCCTGAAAATGGATTTATATTACAAAGACCTACATCTTAGGGTTAAATGTGAGATTTAATCAGTTAGCAGACAGCAGTGTCTGTTATGTGCTTGGGACACTAAAATTGTTACCATGTTAGGGACAGAGTCATGCAACTGGATATACCTTATCCCTTTTTTGATTCTTTTTTTTTTTTTTCAGATTTAAGCAAAGCTTAAAATGAGCATTCCCACTCTAACTTAAAACTTTTTTTTTTTTTTTTTTGCCCATGATGTAACCAGAAGATTAACATACAGTGTTAGGCAACATCTTCAGGAATGACTGATGGCTTGATCAATTCATGAGCTAAGGATCTGAAGGTTACAGTATCAAGATGCAGAAGTGTAGAAGTGTAGACCTAGGCCATACACTGGCAATTAAATGCTCATTACAACAGGGTTGAAAGAAACTAAAACCAGAACAGGCTGAAAAATATCATTGAGATTACCATTTAGGGATCATCAGCTATAGACCAAACACCAAGACAAGTACTTTTCAGGGGTTCATTCACTTAACCACAAGGGCGTAGAAAGAAACAGACAAAATTCAGCCAGGCAGATGTTCTCATCCTCATTTAAAGATAAAGAAATGGTGGGGCCAAGTGCAGCCCTGCATGCTTAACATGTATCAGGCCTTGGGTTCAACCCCCAGCACAACCACCATCAACAACAAAACTGACAAAGACATAGAGTGGCCAAGAAATGCACCACAGGGTCAACTGTTAGGTGGCTCTTTGCATCACTGTGATCCTAAAATACCCTTCCACCCTCACTCAGCAATTAAATGTGTGGTGAGCTGGAGCGATAGGCCTGGCACCAGCTACTTACTCTATACAGAAGCTGAACTACCTTGAGAGAGTGGAACACTTCTTCTGCCTACGAGTTGCATTTAAATGATCAAACACAAGAAAGATTGCAGAAAAGGGAACATTTTCTATATGCTTCAATACTCAATTAGGTGGTTTGTTTCTGTGTGATGCTCAGAAGACACAACAGGCACAAACTAGTTCTTTCATTAACTAAGGCAAGAAAACCAGATTGAGTCACAACTACTTTTTTATTAGTTCTATTTATTGAGACTTGCAACTCACTTGAGAAGTCTGGTCTTGTAAGTAACAGCCAGGGAAATTTGAGGGAATAAGGTGTTTTTTTTTTTTTTTTTTGTGTGTGTGTGTTGCAACACACGCACGTGAGTGCACAGTGGTACGGATGAAACTGAGAGAGGAGTAAGCTGCTCCCAACAACCAACTCTAAAGAGCACGTGGCTCTTGTTACATCTGGCTGGCTCAGCAACTATCCAAGTTATGGGGCTACGGGGGATACTGTCTAGACCAGTTCTTTTGGCCCTGGGGTTGGCAGAACATAGAACCAGAAAGCCAAATCATGGTGGAAATATCTCTCTGCATTTTTTCTGGTAGACGGTCAAGCTGGATGGAAACTAAATCTCAAACAATTACCAAATAGCAATAAATAAGAGAATAAAAAGACTGCACAGGGCTTTCTTCAGTCCTTGATAGATATGTCCTGGCTCTTGAGCTGTAGCATGACATTTCTGAAGCAAATATTCTTAAGAAGAAGAAGAAAAAAGTACAAAGGACAACTTTAGGAGTGACCTGACTTTTCCAGCTTGAGAATATTCTCAGTGCATCATGCATCACGGGTGTTTGCTGGTCTCAAGGATGTTACTAAGAATAGAAAAACACAGCAACATATAATTGAAATAATTTATTTACCACTAGAGCACCACAAAAGAACAGACATACATTGTGTTAAAATACAGCATAATTGGTCATCAAAATACAAAACAGCTATTCTTATATTCCATCTTTTTAACCATGCCAACCATAAAATTGTACTGCTGCTTAACACATACAAACTGCTGTCCCCACCCACGTACTAACACTTCCCCGACGACTCCCTCCCACCACCCTCCCCTCCCACGGCAATATTTACTTATGGGAAATCAAGACCTTATAGAACCCCCAAATTAAAAAAAAAAAGATTCAAGAGATCTTAAAATAGAGCATTTAAAATATTATCAGTGCATTCATAAGGAAAGACAAAATAATACAAAACAAAATGTTGTTTTATCTGAGAGGAAGATACCTGCAGAAATAAAAGTGATTTACACAGAATTAATAGAAAAGTGGAAGAGGAAAAAAAATTACACACAGTCAAATCTGGGATTGGGTTCCACCCAATACAAGGATTGTTCACTATTTGCGGCATCCCATCTCTTGCTTTTCCAGTTTTCAAACTTGCAAAATCCAATTCTTCATTTGAATTCATGGTGAGAAATTCCAAAAAAGAAGCACACCATACCAATCAACTTCTCTTTGGATTCATGCCTCACTCTGCTGCCCTTTAGGTGAAACTGAAAGTATTCCATTGTTTTACCTGTACATTTTTATCTTAAACCTGAATAAGTGACAAATATATCCTACAAACCTAACACGAGGTACCTCCTCTGCAATGATGCAACTCAGTTATTAAAGCAAAGTAAGTGTTAGCCTCAGCTCTAGGTGACTCTTATTCAGAGGAAGGAAAGAATGTTTTGATCAGGGGAGGCACTGGCTTGTGCCTTTCTAACCTTCAAAGAACATCTATAAAAGTCTTAACTTCAGTGAAATGAATGAAATGACTAATGCTGACCTGGACTCTTCCCTCTTTTGAAAAACCAAATAAAATGTCTATTTTTTTCAATTTCCCGTTAACACTAAAAATCTCACTTTAAAGGAAAAGAAGTTCTCTTCGAATTGCCCTCTTTAAAGTAATAATAAAATTCTGTGAAAACACTAATTAAGTCAAATTAGAGAACCCTTTCTTAACTCAGTCCAAGATTCTGAGTTCAGATCTTTAAACCCTCATTAAAACTAAAACATTTCCCTCACTTATCTATGTGTTCACTATATCCCCATTTTCCTAAAGTAGAAGCTTCCTAACTGACTTGGTTATGAATTATGCTTAGAAGATGAAGGAAGACCACTTGAACTCAAATCTATTCTTTTCATAAAAGAAAAAAAAAGGACAAGTAGATCCAGGTAGCTTATGTCATAAAAATGAACAATACACAAAGCACAAGTAGAGCAAATACTATTTTAAAAATGTATTTATAGTGCAAGTCAAAATCTAGGGGTTTTACTCAAAAGTACTGGCCGGCTAAAGGAAACATACAATTGTGAATGATCATTAAAAAGAGCCCAAATTAAGTCCAATCTAAATCATAGTTGACATTATTACAGAATATAAAAAATATGGTAAGAATTTACACATTACACGTAAAGTAGTTAATGTTTTGATTTAATAGTTTGCAAACGAGATCCGCAGATGTGTTTTCAATTATGCTGGCTTCTATGCCCATCTATTTTAATAATACAGGACTGGTTACATATACCAAAACAAAGAAAAAATAAAAACTGTAGCATAGCTATACAGCAATACTCGAAGGTCCTAAGTTTGATCAGTACATGTCAAAACATTTCAACATTTCACTGGTATGCCAAACTGACAAAGAACCATTTACAATTAAAAGGAAAATTAAAAAAAAAAATCTTACAGACTCATTCTGTTCTTATTAACAGGATTTTTAGTGTTTGAACCTTACACGAAGCTTCCTTTGGCAGTTGGTACACGGCATGTGTTCTCAGGGTCTTTATCTTAATGCAGACTCGCTTGGTCATGTAATAACTCACTTGGGTTTTCATCCCGTTAATATGACCTCTTATTTTTTTCTGGCTCGTTTGAATTCAAGTTCTTTAAGCCATCCATGAGTTTCTGGCAAAGCATTTGGTCTCCACTTTATACACCTGTTTTATTTTCCAAGGGCAATGAAACGTTCATTATATAGTAACACACAATAAATAACTCACTGTTAACTCTAAGAGTAAGAACGGGAGGGGTGCCTATTGCATAGCAATACAGAAAAATCAAGTGAGGCGTGGGATAGGAACGGTACGTACAGCAACTCCACTTAATGGGATTTTCCTGTTTTTTGGTTTTTTTTTTCTTTCACATAATTAACACTAACAAATTCTTCCAGTGTTTATTTTTTTCTTAAAAAAAAAAAAGAAGATTTTGCTTCTTCTCTCTCACTTACAAAGTAGGTGAAATGTAGAATAAGGCCTTTCACTTTTTTCATTTCAGATGCCAGTTTTAACAAACAGAACGCAAACTTCCAAAGTATTTGAACTAGTACCGCTTTTTCAAAATCTGTTAACACTGATGAAACAAGGCTCTCTATGTTTTCTTGTTACAAGCATCATCATGGTCGTTGCTGTTGTTATCATGATTTCTGCCTTGTCATTTTTCCAAGAAGTTTAGCTGCATTTGCAAGACTTTACAATCATATTGGAAAGCTGTTCGATCTTGGGTGTCTTGCCGATGTAGTAGAGAATGGTTAGCGGTTCCAAATCTTGGGACACACAGCAAGGAGAAGCAGATGCTTCTGGATTTATGGTGTTATATAAACTGAGAACCTGAATAGACACAGGAAAGGAGTGATACCACAGGGCAAGACCAAAATAAAAGCAAAAACAAAAAAAGAGAGAAGAAAAGCCATATTATCTTTTCAACAACCATTTTACATTGTTATCAGCCAAAGCACTTAGTAGGCAATTTTAATTATTTGGGGTATATTACTGTTTGTTTGTTTTTTTACTTTAAATTTTGGTCAGATTGGTATGTGTCCTTAGCAATCACCAAACTCACCCTTTCTGCACTAGATGCTTTTTTTTTTCATGCATTTTAAACAAGTGATCTATAAAAGTCAGATTGGACAAAATTACTCATTCTGCAGATTTTCCTAATTTCCCAACTTGCCTACTCTGATCGAGGCCACATACATTTGCCATATCTTGCAGTATGCGGTCTTGTTTCTAAACCACTTTTTAACTGAAATTGTTTTGTGAGTGTATGTTTTAAATTCCCAAGAAAATTAAGAGATCTTTTGAGGTTGAGGACTCTGTAGACTTTGTATCATTTAGCCCTAGTAAGTCTTGACTGGACAAAATAATACATGTATGCTAGGTGAAGAGATCATAGATACATGGATAAAAAAGAAAAAAATAATAAAATGTTTAAAATTGCCATTAGAGCTTCAACTTACCCTTGGGCATAGAAAAGGACACCTTTATATAATGTAAAATCTTTCTGTTAATTATGTTTGCAGGACAATTTAATGTCACCAAATTGTCGTTTTTCTTTCGTTTTTTGCACTGGGGATTGAATCCAGGGGCACTACTTTCCATCTGAGTTACATCCCCAGCTCTTTTATTTATTTTTTATTTTGAGACCGTCTTACTAAGTTGCTTAGGACCTCCCTAAATTACAGAGGCTGGCCACCAACTTTCGATCCTCTTGCCTTAGCCTCCTAAATCACTGGGATTACTGGCATGTGCCATGCCACCTGGCCTAAATTGTCATTTTTAAAAGTCTTTTCATTTACTGTTGCTTCATAACTGCAATGATGTTAAGAATGGCATCAAACGCAATCTACATTCTTCATTATTCACTTTCTTAGATTTTTCTTAAAAGCAGTATTAATAGTGAACCCGCCATGGGGCTGGGGTTGTGGCTCAGCAGTAGAGCGAGCGCTTGCCTGGCACAAGTGAGGCACTAGGTTCGATCCTCAGCACTGCATAAAAATAAAATAAATAAAATAAAGGTATTGTGTCCATGTACAACCAGAAAGTACATTAAAAAATAATAATGAACCTTCCATTAACCTTTCATATGATAAATGGTAGTGGCTGAGAGGGAGGAGTGGACAGCCAGTTCTAAAACGGAATGAAGACAAAGTTGTGTAGTTAGCCCTGTACTTTTGTCCCCATTTTGTATCAAAGAGTATATGACTTTTACTAATGGAAGTATGTAGGATCCACACTGATGACACAGAGACATTTCCAAGGATGCCATTAATGTGCTAGTCAAACAGTAAGTGACCTTTTCCTCGAGATTCACTGCAATTTTTTCATCCTAAGACACAAGATCTGTTCAGTGCAGCAACACTGACTACTTTATTAAGCTACCCCTGGTGTCTTGGGTAACGGTCCAAACCACATATTTGTGACCATGACAGTTATTCTTCCTCTCTCCTTGAAAAACAAGCCTGGTCTCAGCCTTCACACACTCCCTCTGTGTATCGGGGAGGAGAATTATGTTTCTACTTGGCAGCTGGGCCGTGCCCACATTACAGCTACTGCTGCGGCAGCCCAGATGAAGTAGCCTGGCCAGAGAGCTCAGACAAAGGGACAGGCATGAGCAAGCTTCCCTCACATGGGCAAGCACGTGGTCACCCAAGAGTGCCAAAGCCTTCAGGGGAGTTGGGAAAACAGCTGAAGGAAGGGGAACCGTATCTGTCAATTTCATTTCCAGCCTATGCAGGCATTTATAAATAAATATACTTCGTATTCCACTAACACATGATTTTTCATGAGAACCGAGGAGGAATTTTTATAACACAGATTGTCTAAAATAATTGATAACCCCCCCAAACTCTTGAATTCAGCTGAATGCATTCTGTGCTCTTTTTGGCAGCAGGTTCATTTTCCTACCCTGCAGTGAAGGCAATTTTTCTAATGCCGCTTTAATAGGGAGATTTACAGACACATAAAGAGCAGAATAGAAACCCCCATGTGAAGCCACATTTTAGGAATTATACTCAGTAAGACAGAGCAAATAGAGGCCTGGTTATATAAAAAAGGACGGCTGCCTTCCAAGCCCTGTTTTGTCCTTCATTTTCTGTTTGATCTTGGGCAAGTCATGTACACAGTCAACAGTCTGATTGATTTTTTTTTTTAAATGTTAAGGTTTGAACGAGATTATTTATGAAGTCCTTTCCATCTCTATCATCCTATATCATGAAGGATGTAGGAAAGAAAAAGCATATGAACAAATAGCATTATTATAAAGAAAAAGACTTTGCTGATCTGGATTTGGGAACCCACACCATCCAAACTTGGACCTGCCTTCTGAGTTAGCCCTCTATCTCGATGGTGATAACTTGACTAAATATATGCAGATTCTTGATAACTTTGGGCTGTATTCAGAAAGACTTATGCTAATTTTCCAATCATTTCACATGTATCATTTTTGTATTTCACAACAACTCTCCAGTTCAGCATTATCAATTTAAAGATAACTTTTGGTGGCACACTCCTATAATCCCAACAACTTGGAGGCTGAGGTAGGAGGATGATAAGTTCAAAGCCAGCCTCATCAACTTAGCGAGGACGTAAGCAACTCAGTAAGACCCTGTCTCAAACTAAAATATAAAAAGGGATGGGGATGTGGCTCATGGGTAAGGCCCTCCCTGGAACCAAAAAAAAAAAAAAAAAACTTTTAATATAGAAGTCCCTTCTTACTGATTATAAATTTAAGGTTCAGAGAGGTTAAAGGACTTTCTAATTCTCCTACTACAATAAATCATACACCAAAGCACCAACTGCAGTCTTCAGTGTTATTTCTAATATGCCAGTCCCCAATGGAGGTGATAACAGATACTTTTTTAAATGGACCTCTGGGTCCCTTCACACCTTAGCTACATATGACACTATGTGTATATTGATTCAAACTGTTTTTGTGTGTGTGGAATGGGGAACCTAATTATATGTATAGCTGTTAAAAATAAACAATAAGAAACAAAACTCTCTTCAAGTCAATTATGATCTTGATGAGAAGGTGTGATCTGCTTTTGAAAGGGATCAGTGTTACTTTTTTATTTTACCTACAGCCTACATTTCTCCTCATCTAAAACGATTTATCCAGCACCTAGGCAAACATGATGGCCAAAGGGCATAAAGACCATTACAGTTCATTTAAAAATACAATAGCAGACAGCCTAGAACAGAGGAGATGAGTTAGCCAAACACTTACCCTGCTGTGCTGAGTATCTGAACTCCATAAATATGGGCACGCTCCAGCACAGAAGTTGGCATTGTACCCTTTAGGTTCATGTATCCATTTCCACCCAAGATCCCTCTTGAAATCAATGTAAAGTGGACGTAGGCAGCAATTATCCTGCACATTTCTGTTGAAAGAAACATCAGTGGAGATTTTAAAGCTGATTTCCCACCTGCCTTATCCCAAACCAGAAAATGATCCATTCATTTATTCAACAAGAAGCTAATGACCACATAGCCTAGGCTAGGTGTTAGTGGTCTTATTGTAATCTTAAGTGACTTTCATGATAGGATGCTGTGATAACCCGCTGGATGACCTCATGAGTCCTATCCCCTGACTCCCTTGTCTGTGACCTAGAAAGTCAAACCTTTACTCTCAAATGCTTATGTAGAGAAGTGGTTGAAAGGGACCTTCCTTTCTAACCACCACTGGGCAGTTGTGCTAGCTAGCCTCTATTGCCCTTTTACATTAAAAACAAATTACAACAGTTATTTTCAGAGAACCATCTAAGGCATTTATCTTTGAGAATATATCCTGCATTTTACCACCCATTACTTGATCACAATATACTAGAAATCAAGGGAAAAGCTGCATGCAATTACAGGCTCTGAAAGTGAAAAATGCCACTCTCCTAGTGACCTCTGACACGGCTATCATGGAGGACCTGGCATCGTCCCACAACTCTCCTTTTACTAAACTGGATAGGAAACCACAGGATGAGAAATAAGTTCTCGTCCTGTTCCCCTACTTCTGTAAGATTCTGTAGCTAATGGCACTCTCTACTATCTCATCTCTGTTTCTGTAAAAAAAAAAAAAATGTGACCACAGGCATTCTGAAGAGAAGTGTAAGGTCACACAGATGGTAGGTCTTCCTGAATTATAGAGTCAACGTCACACATCTAGAATGAATTTATTTTCTCTGGGAAGAAGGGTAGAGAGCTCATTTTCTTTTTCAGCATCAAAGCCCTTCAGAGGGATTTGGAGGATCATCATAGGGGGCTAGTTTTCCCCCTTCACCCTTTGTTCTTTGGTCACGGGCTGGTGAATACAACAGAGAAATAACTGCTCAAAGCCTCCGAGAGGAACAGTATTACAAGATACCAGGGCTGTACTGTCCTCAGTCTATGAGTTCAACTCAAGTCAATTTGTAGGAAAAAGTAAAGGCAGAAGAAGGTATAACAGACGGGTGCTCGGTTTTATTTCCATTTTCTTACCTAAAACAATAGGCCGCATCCAAAGCACGCTTCTTCCGCCGGTTGGACTGTTGTGACTCAAGTCTGTAGGAGGGCAATAACATTAGCAGGAGATGTGGGGTCTTCCCACTGTTTTTTTTCCTAGTGGACTTTATAGTTTTCTGATCACCACTGGTATATGTGGAGGTGCCATCAATACCTTGAAAAAATGCATTTGGGTAATAAACATTTAGCTTTACCTTCATCATATATTATCAGCTATATATATATATATTTTTTTTTCTTTTGTATATAGTCACAAATAGCAGTGATGACCACCATGACAGCATTGGCTGGCTATAGTCATTCCCCATGGAAACAGATGTGGCATAATAGGACTACCACAGGTGACTACACTTGTATGTGGGTCTCTTGTCAGAAGGCAGCACAGCATCAAAGGCAGGGCTGTTGCTTAGGAAGTCACAGCAGAAGAAGACTTTGACCTATGGCCACTAGCAACCTAGGCAGTTTAATTTAGTCGATCCTCAGTGTAGGCTGTGTTCAAACCCTCCACCAATGAACGTGCAGCCGTAGAACATGCCTTGTCACCCGCAGGCTCACATTCTTCCTAAGACTGCTAAACTCAGAAGACTTTCCTAATGAGCCTAAACTGAGACTTAGCTCCATGGCAGTGAAATAAGTTCAAGTGAAACAGAAGTCACCCTTACCTAATGCTATTTTGGGAAGCTGCAAAGAAAGGGCTTTTTCATTTATTTTATGGCATCCTCAACACTTTCCTGATTCCATCTGAGATTTAGAAACTTGAGCTCCCCAAAGCATGCTCAGGAGACTGCCAGTTTAAGCATTTAATCTCCACACTCAAGAGAATCATGACTAGGTTAGAGACTGAAATAAATCTCGAAACCTCTGGGAGCATTTTTCCATGAGCAGGGGGCCACTGTAGCCTTTTAAAAGTGGATGGAGGTCCCAGGTGATGTTAGGAGGGAAGAGAAATCAGCTCCCTGACCTGGCAGTGCAGGCCGATGTGGCACTGGCACGTGGGCACAGGCTTCCCTCTGGTCTCTTTCCCCAGTGACTCATTATCCAATGTACCAAGTGACCCAAGCCCTTGGCATCTTCTTATTTTCTCTGGTTTTTGGTTAGTTCACTTAAAGGTAGGCATGGGAAATCTAAAGCCTTGCTTTGTGTTTATCAGCTATTATAAAAGTCTGATAAGGAAGAAACTTGAAATATTGGGTACAGGCTAGAAAAGGGCGACTGTTCCAACGCAGGGAAGTTAAGGCTTAGAAACTGAGGCTTGAGAGGACTCTTTTCTCTGATGAAAAACGGTTGTTGATTTCTGATATTTGGCTTAGGGACTTATCAATGAATTTCACTGAGTGTATGTCATATAGTTCTATAATATCATAATAGATGGAAAAGGAGCTTTGCTTAAATGAAGAATAAAGAGTTTAACTGACTAGTCAATATTTTTCAGGGTTAACGAGCCAATCAGTTAGTATTGACCAAGTCATGGTGGGGTACTGCCGAGTATGAAAACTGGGAAACAATCCCTTTTTTCTAGTCTTTTTTGCCTCCTTATACTTTTTTCCAGTCATATTTTTGCCAACACACTTCATCCAACCATGAAAAGTAACTTTATCCTCATGAGATTATCAATACAAGGCCTCCCCCACCACGCAGTTTCAGTTACCTGCAAATCTTGCTTCTAGCTCTTCACTTTTATTTGGTATGATGTAATTGTTGGATGGTACAAAGGTACAGCAGGGACAATGTAAACTTATTTTAAATCCCAGGTTCCTATCTGGAAAACATTAAGTCAAGGAGGTCATTTGTAAGTATATTATCTGCGCTTTTAAATCTGCAATTCGATTTACAATAACTTAGGGACACATCTAGGGAGAAAACTAGAAGGTGGTTATAACCTTTATGGTGAAGCCACTCATGAACTGCATCAGTCACATCGAAGGACAGCCATTCGCCTTCTGCTCTTGTTTTCACGACTTTGCTGTCAATGTAGCGCTGGGTTGGAGATGTTAAATCTTTGGATTTGAGGATCTAGAGGGAGACAAGGCAAGAGCCAAAGCTCAGTTGGCATACCGACAGCCTGACGAAACCCAAACCATTAACATTATCCTGATTCATTATCTAAATTTAGCTGCGCACCAGTGTGTCCACGTATTGTCATCTCAAGCATGGCCACATACATAAAAACATAACACCAGGCCATTTGCCATGAAAAATAGAGCTACTAAATCAGCTGCATGTTATGATAAAGGTGACGGGAACCATAAAGCCAAGTGTCTAAAAGAAAGTGGCAGTAATTATTTTGCTTTGCTGACATAAGCTTTGTGAGATTTTGGCCATAAATTCTATGCTATTAAGTTAATGGTTTTGTTGTTCTGCTTCCTTATTTCTTTAATTTTTGGGGAGCCGGGGTACAGAGAGGGACGGGGGAGAGGTCCCGTTCAGAAAACCCAACGCTCACCCTCCAAAGTCCCTGAATTATAAATCTTCTGCCAAAGACAGCAAGGTCCTAACCTTGGTTCCTAAACCCATTGGCATTAAAATATGTGTCCTGCCTCAGCTTTTGAGGTAAGCCTCTAGCTGGGATTTTTACTCTCAGTATGACTTGTGATGATTTATAAAGATATTCCATATCCCACAGCCTAAGAATGAATCTGGGCAGGAGCAATCTGGCACAGTGTGCCTCTGAGAGGCTGAAAGCAAATCAGCTCAAAACCGAGACTTTAGAAAGAAATGTTGATTTCAAATAAGTAAAGAACAACTGCAGCAAGTTCTTGGGTTTCTATGGGAAGTGAATAGTTGTGGTGGTTTTCAACAATTCTATCTTGAAACAGTAATGTTTTATGAACCAATCCACCATCCTAAGTCTCCTAGAGCTACAGTAAATCCTCCCCTCAATCTACAGCCTCTGCTTCCTCAGTACTTAGGGGCTTAGGATCTGCTTTCCCTGTCCTTTCTTACATTCAGTCTAATTCTTCATACCATACTTATGGGTTTGGTCTCTTCTACAAGTTCACAAGCTTCTCCAAGTCAAGGATCATGCTTTCAACTTGATAGCATTTCAAAGCATAGGACTCAGTTGAATCACTGTCTATTAAGTGACTCTCTGAAGATCTAAATAATTTATTAACTCTCTGTTAGCCTTGCAAAGCAAAAAAAAAAAAAAAAAGTGTAATTTCCTATTGATTTTAAAATGCATTTTCCCTGTCAGTGTGTAGACACAATTTTTTCCAGGTGATTTGACAACACAAGAATATTTGGCATTATAGTAGCCATTTTTTTTTCTGGATTAAGAAAGTATAAAAGAGGAAAGAGATTTTATGATTGGACTCTTGGGTGTCTTCATGAATTTTTCACAAATCATATTCTACAGGCCTGCCCCAATGGTCCAAAGAACCCCTATAAATAAAGAGAATCCAGAAACAATCATGATCCTTCAATAGGCAAATGATTCTTTTTGTGAATTAAAGAAGCAAATAAACATGACTCGAGGGCTGGGCACAACAGGCTCTGGGTTTGGCACACATTGTTTCACTTAATGTAATCCTCAAAATATTGCTGTAAGGTAGATTAAAGAAACAGAAACTCAGGGGGGTGAAGTAAGTCCCTCAGTCCCTCACAGTGAACAAGCACAGAAGGAGGATACAAAGCAACTCTAAGTCATTTTTCTACTTCAGTGCTGGAATTTGGAAAGCCAAAAAAAAAAAAAAAAAAAAAAGTTAGGGAAGTCAAAGTCAGATCATGATTCACCCTGACCCCTTTCCAGATGGCAGAACACATTTAATAATAAAGGCAGAGATCTTTAAATAAGATTATAATAGATGTCAGTACAGGATGAAAATATACCATGGTGGAATGTACACACAGTTAATGCTGACATAAAGCTGTAACTTTGCTTAACATCAGTCAGTCCTCTGGGAATCAAAGCTTTCCTTGGAAACAACTCCCAGTTGGGCAAGTAAGACACTACTTATCCACTTCAGAATAAATGGCATAATTAAACTAACATAGGATAGGAAGGATAAAAATAATGCTTGAGAAGAAATTCTCAGGCATTTCCATCTGTCTTACTGGCTAAAAGTTAATAACATACCCAGAATTCCTTTTTCTGTCTTTAGATTTTTCTCCTAGCTGATCTCCTATAGTGATACACTATTACATAATGTTTTGCATATTTTCTATGGTCCTAAAACATTGCTTTCATTATTATGTGATATATATATATATATATATATATATATATATATATGACATAATGATTTAATAGTTTAATTATGTATCAAAATAAATGTATCACATATTAAATGCCCATGACATATGTGACATATATGTACGCACACATATATATAATATTCAATATCACTGAAGACACTGCATTTCTTTTAAATAAATAAATCATGACCAAATGGACAATAAAAATACATATTGGCAAGTCTATCAAAATTCTTTACCTCATAGAGAAGGAATAAATCTGGATTATCCTGCTCTGAAAACACAACAAAGGGGAGCAAAGAGACTGGAGTTCTTTCTGGTTTAAATATCATGAAAGACTGAGGATAATGGCTTCCTCCACAATCAGGGCATTAGCCAGCTCAGACAATGAACAACTTCATACTCTGAAAGGGTGAAAGGTCGTCTAGATGTTTTACTAGTTCAAGATTCAGGAACAGGCTACATGTAAATCGCCCCCAAAAAGAGTTAGCTATTATAGTTCTGAAGCAGAGAAGTGACTTTAGTCTTGTGGGCTTATTGTCTTGAACTTTATGGACAAGGAGTCCTTACATCCACTTGTTGCAATTTAACTCCACTCTTCTTATGCAGTCCTTAGTGGAAACAGGAAACAGCTGCTTTCCATCACTCAGAGAATATCCCTCATATTCTCAGAGACTATTATTAAGTCCCCCTCAGCATGCTTGCTTTCTCTCTCTAAGCTAAATAAACCCAGTTCCTTCAGGCCATATTTAGAGGGGCAATTCTCAAGCCTTTAATCATTTGGGTAGCTAACAAGGATGGAAGATGCTATATAAAAGTATTCCTTCTATAGCTTCATGATTTCACTTTGGAATGGTCGAGGACACATTCTAATCACATCTTAGCATGGAATCTTAATTTGAAAGCTATCTTTTTTCCTAAGAATAGGTACAACTCCCTTTCCCCTGTTTCTCTTTCATTTATCACCCGCAGTGGGAAGTGGCCTGGGAAATCAACCTGCTGCTCTTGCTCATTAGTCTTTTCTTACATTCAATAATTTATACAAAATTGACCACATCAGCCAACTTCTCACTCTATTTTAGCCTTCACAGTCTGCCGTTCTCCAGGGTGACTGATTTTTTTTCCTAGATCTTCCATAATAATTTCTTACACATTTTATCATGACAAGGTCAATTTAGGTGAGTAGCAAAAGCTTTCTTCACCTGTAAGCACTGAACTGGCCTGATTAACCAGTTGACTCCTTCCATTCCATGTTCTGTTCTTTGTATTGGCTGGTACCCACAGCACACTGGGGTCAAGGCTGAAAACTTACTCTCTAAGCACCGCTGGTCTTGCCAGCTGAGTTGTACACTTAGTGAATATTAATTGTATGCATTTCTAAACACTTGGACTTGTTATTGTGATGATAAAAGTTAATTAAATGGTTAATACAGGACTGGAAGAAAAGACAATTGTTGCTTCTGTGAAAACCAGGTTGAAAGTCATGGAAATTCTTCACAAAGACAAACTGATGTAAGAGAAAGTGGGTTTTTTTTTTTTTTTGGAAACAATTTGGCAGTTCCTCAAAAGAGTAAACATAAAATTATCATATGATCCAGCAATTCTGCTCCTGGGCATAATCCAAAAGAATTAAAAACAGAGACTCAAACAGATACTTCTACACCAATATTCATGGAAACACTGTTTACAATAGCCAAAACTTGGGGGAAAATATAACACTGACAGATGATGGATAAACAAAATGCAGTATACCATATAGTAGTGTATTTGTCAGTCATGAAAAGAAAGAAAATTTCTGACACAGACTCCAACAAAGAAGAACTTGAGGATATTAAACTAATTGAAATAAGCCAGACACAGAGGATATATACTGCATGATTTCACTTACATAAGTATCTACAACAGGCAAAATTTATAGAAATAGAGGAATAGAGGTTACCAAGGACGGGGAGTACAGGGTAATGGATCTTTATTGTTTAAAGAGTTCATAGTTTCTATTTGGGAAGATTAAAAAAAATTCTGGAAATGGATAGTGATGATTACTGCACATCATTGTGAACATAGTTAATGTTCTTGACTTGTATAAAGAATGGTTAAAATGTAGCTTTTATTCTATGTTTTACCACAATCATTTTTTTCCCTAATTTTAGGTGTGAGGGATATAGCTATAAAATACATAACAAAAAAGAAATAATAGGATAAAAATCTAGAAGAATCCTGTACTCAGGCTCTTCAGCAATTATTCTTAAGCTTCTATGTACTTCAAGTTAATTAAAAACCAGAAATCATAGATGATGCATTATGAATGTATTCATGCAAAAAAATATAGCACACATTAGCAGTTGGCACCGCTATGTCAAAGAAAATTTCTTGGCCTTTTGTAAAAAACTCAACCTCAGTATGTAAGTTTGTGTGTGTGTGTGTGTGTGTGTGTGTGTGTGTGTGTGTATACATATGTGCATATAGACATATATTCACATACATTTGTTCTAAGTTCAAAACTTTAAGGTTTGCATCTCTCTGTCTCTCTCCTCTTATGTTTATATACTCAGCTACTTTAACTTCTTTTTTAATTAAACAGCTGACCAACAACAGTTCCTGACTGAACTAGAAAGGAGGGCTTCTAAAGTATGGAAAATGAGATTTAGCTGTCTCTCGCTTAGCCGCCACCCACAGAGGTGTTCCAACACTGGTGAACTTACATTACTAGTATATAAATATTATATATAACTTGTGCAAAATACTCACATATCTCCTTTGGCAAAGGCTCTAAACTCTTCACTGAGTTACAAAACCCTTACACAAAAGGATTCATTCAT